AGTTTCCTTTGTCACTTCATACCCGGCCTGGTAAAGTCCATACCCGACCGGGTTTTGCACAAAACTCAGGTTTCTTCATCCTTTTTGCTTCCAAACCTATCCTAAACTTATAGCCAAACTAACTACAACTTACAACAAACAATAAAATGCTAGAAATACGATTACAATCAAATGCAAACTAACAACTATAAACTTGCACAAAACTAGTAAATAAACATTACAAACAATAATAAAAATATACACTTAGGCACTAACAACTAGTGCCTATCAACGGTAAAGGAGAAATAATTGCCGTGGGAAAAGTTGGAAAGTCACCTAACCATGCAATTGACAATGTCTTTCTAGTCAAGGGTTTAAAGTTTAATTTGCTAAGTATTTCTCAATTTTGTGACCGAGGTAACAATGTAGTTTTTGATCATAATGTATGTCGCATTGTTAATAACGAAACACAACAAGTTATACTAGAGGGCAAGAGACTAGAAAATACTTATAACGTTGATCTTGATTTATTGCCAAATATAAGTCTAACTTGCCTGAGCGTTATTGACAATGATCCCCTGCTATGGCATAAAAGGCTTGGACACGCTAGTTTTTCATTAATAAATAAACTCAAAAATAATGATTTGGTAATTGGGCTACCTAATATAAAATATTCACTTGATCATATTTGCTCTGCTTGTGCCACCGGAAAACAATCGCGATCATCTTTTAAAACAAAGAATTTGGTGAGCACAAGCAAGCCCATAGAACTAATTCACATGGATTTGTGTGGTCCAATGTCAGTCCGTAGCCGAGGAAATAAAGAATATGTTTTAGTTATTGTTGATGACTTTTCAAGATATACTTGGACTATCTTTCTTGCAAGCAAGAAAGATACTTTTAATGAGTTTGTTGTTTTTGTAAGGAAAGTTGAACATCAAACAGGGTTACAATTAATCAAGATCAGATCGGATCATGGAATTGAGTTTGACAACTCACTATTTGATGCATTCTGCAAGGAACGAGGCATAGACCACAACTTCTCTGCCCCTAGAACTCCTCAACAAAATGGGGTAGTAGAACGGAAGAATAGAACTCTTGAGGACATGACTAGAACAATGCTGATTTCCAGTGGTCTAGCCAGAAACTTTTGGGCAGAAGCACTAAACATGGCATGTTATATAATTAACCGTGCTATGATCCGTCCACTCCTAGGGAAGACACCCTACGAACTACTCAAAGGGAGAAAGCCCAACATTAGTCATCTAAGAACTTTTGGATGCAAATGTTTTGTTCATAACAATGGGAAAGACAACATTGGCAAGTTCGATGCAAGAAGTGATGAAGCAGTCTTCCTCGGATACTCAACTCATAGCAAAGCTTACAAAGTTCTAAACAAACGCACACAATGTGTGGAAGAAAGTATCCATGTAATCTTTGATGAAGCACTTGCCTTAAGACCAAGCCAAATCGATGATGAAGAAATAGGAATGACACGCAAGGAGATACAACCTCAAAGGGAAAGTGGAACTGACCATGACACCAACCAATCTGGAGAACCATCACTGACCAATGAAGATAACGAGTCTGGAACTGAAGAAGAAACTGGACAGACTTCAGCCAGTCAGCCTGTAGAACCAGTTTCAGATACTCTACACGAATTGGTGGATCAACCAAATGCTCCAAGAGGGTGGAAGCATCATCGATCACATCCCCTGGATAACCTCTTAACAGATCTAAATAAGGGAGTAACTACTAGATCTAAAATTAGAAATTTTTGTGCTTTCTTTGCTTATTTATCTCTAATAGAACCGGAGAACCATGAAGTGGCTCTCTCCGATGCTGACTGGGTTCTAGCTATGCAGGAAGAACTAAATCAGTTCGAAAGGAACAAGGTGTGGCATCTAGAACCAAGACCTAAGAACAAAATTGTGATAGGTCTCAAATGGGTATTTAAGAACAAGCTTGATGAATATGGACAAATCACAAGGAACAAGGCGAGACTTATTGTAAAAGGCTATAACCAACAAGAAGAGATAGATTTCAACGAATCATTTGTACCAGTGGCAAGATTAGAGGCAATACGAATGCTCATAGCATTTGCGGCTCACATGGGATTCACACTCCATCAAATGGATGTGAAAACGGCCTTCTTGAATGGTTATCTTAAGGAAGAGGTGTACGTAGAACAACCACCGGGTTTTGAAATTCCAGATTTTCCTAATCATGTTTTCAAATTAGATAAGCACTTTATGGTCTCAAACAAGCACCTCGTGCTTGGTATGAGTGATTATCTAAAGTTCTTTTGGAAAATGGTTTTGAAAGAGGAAAAATAGATTAAACTCTTTTTCTAAAAAAAGATCAAGCTCTGTTGGTTGTTCAAATTTATGTAGATGATATTATTTTTGGTGCTACTAATGATTCACTGTGTGATGAATTTTCTTCTCTTATGAGTTCCGAGTTCGAGATGAGTATGATGGGAGAACTAAACTTTTTCCTTGGCCTACAAATCAAACAAACAAGCAAAGGAACCCAAATATCTCAACAAAAGTACCTTAAAGAACTTCTCAAGAAGTATGGAGCAAGTGAAGGCAAAACAATGATGACACCTATGGGAACAAATGAACGCTTGGATGCAGACGAACAGGGAATAAGCGTGGACCAAAAGAAGTACAGAGGCATGATTGGGTCTCTACTATACCTAACTGCCAGTAGACCCGACATAGTTTTCAGTGTAGGTCGATGCGCTCGGTTCCAGGCAAATCCTAAGCAGTCACATCTCAAAGTGGTTAAAAGGATCTTCAAATATCTCAAAGGAACTACGAATCTATGCTTATGGTATCCACGTAATGAAGATTTTAACCTTATTGCATATTCAGACTCTGATTTTGCTGGTGATTTACTAAATAGGAAAAGCACGCCTGGAACGGCTCACTTCCTAGGTCCTTGCCTAGTTTCATGGAGTTCTAAGAAACAAAACTCAGTTGCTCTTTCAACAGCCGAAGCTGAGTACGTGGCAGCCGCATTTTGTTGCTCACAATCCCTGTGGATCATGCAACAAGTGAGTGACTACGAGATCAACCTAAATTACACGCCAATCTTATGCGACAACACCAGTGCGATCAGTATTTCAAAGGATTCGGTCATGCATTCTCGGACAAAACATATTCATATCCGTCATCACTTTTTGAGAGATTGCGTGGAAAAGGGGCTAATCAGGGTAGAGTATTGCAGCACCGAGAAACAAATTGCTGACATTTTTACAAAGGCTCTTGGGAGAGAAAGGTTTGAATTAATTAGACTTGAACTTAGTCTAATTAATGCTTAAATTATCTGTCTTATTTGTGTCTCTTTTGAAAAATATTTTTCAAAGCATGTCTTAAATTAGCACATAAATGAAGTACTCCTTAAACTTTAATGACACACTTTCTGTATAATTCAGGGGGAACCAATGGTTGATTATATGTTTTTTTTCCCTTGAATCTTGTCTTAAAGAGGTAAGTTCTTTCATGTTTCCTTTTGGTTGATGCCGAAAGGGGGAAATATTCAGGTGCCTCTCATGTCCTTCTATATTAATGCAAAATCTGCAGGTCATGTGTCTCAAGGCACCTATGGTTTGTCAACAACAAAAAGGGGAAATTTGTTGAATATTTAGTTTTGTTGATGACTAACCATACAGGAACAAAAGAAGGAACTATCGTTGACTAACCCTGCAGGTAGACCAACGGATAGAACTTCTCTCCGTTTTATCAGGAACGAAAATTAGAACTATACTTAGTTCTATTTTGTGTGAATAATTGACGTACATAACAAATAAATGAATTCATATGTTATTGCATGATAATGCCATATCTACGTACCTAGATATGTTATGCATGAAAGTGGCACAATTTAAATATCTTTTCATAAATGATTATGCCTTTATACTTTATAAAAGGTAATCATGAAAGGGGCACAATTGAAATATCTTTTTAGAAATGATTGGACACCACTTAAGTAAGTTAACCTTAATTGTGCTTCATACTTTATAGAAAGTAATAGTGGCTTGCTAAATTAAGGTCGTTGCATGATTTGAGTAATGTACTATGGAAAGCTTCCTTACATGATTCGAATAAATTCAAATAAGCTAAATAGTATTTGATGCCATGTTACGTTTTTCTTACTATGGGAAGTAATCTTGTTATCTTTATATTGATGGTCCTCTTTCGAAATACATTAAAAGAAATATTTTTGGTAGCATATGATTTGATTGCATCTCCTACTATACAAATTTATCTACATCCATGATTGAATATTTTAAATACTTTTGAATAGAATATTGCTTACCTATTGTGAACCGTTGCTTCTTGCTATAATAGGTAGATATATTCTTTCCTTGCTATATTACCTTGAGACCGTTGCATGCATTAGATATTCTCTCAATTGACATATTCTAGAATATCTTGTGTTTATCAATATAATTGATATATGCCGTTAGCTCAAAGTATGAGACATATTATTCAAGGAAGGTAATTCAAAATATCAAGGAAAGTCCAAATATTCAACCAAGGAAAGGAGAGGCTACAGATGCTATATATATTGGATTGAAGACCAGACGAAAGTGGTGTGCTTAACCGAGCTTCTATTGAGAAATATACACGAGAATATTTACCAAGTCCAAGGCACCTGAACCTGCTCACGGAGTTCCAGACAGAGTTTCTTTTTCCCATCTTCATATTGTAATTGGGGTATTGAGGATCGGCCAAGTGTAGCATCCTCGGGTTGGTTAGTGTGTTGTGAGAAGCTTTGTTGTAAAGCTGAGAGACTCTCTACCCGCAAGGTAGAGATGCATAACTCTTCCTAGAGAGGATAGAGTTGGGGTGGCTCAAGGGTAGACTAGGAGAGTTTCCCTTGTAATCATTCAAAGGCTTTTTAGTGGATTTGTTCAAATTCCTCCGAGGGAGGTCGAGGTTTTTTAATCCATTTGAGCCAAGGGATTTTTCCTCGTTAAATCCTTGTGCACTTTACTATTTCGCATTTCCCTGAACCCCACACTAGAACTGTGCAAAAATCTGCCACGGTTCCACACACACACAATTCACCCCCCTCTTGTGTTGCTAACAGTTTCATCAATTGGTATCAGAGCCGGTCTTCACCACATAAAGGGTACAACCTTGGGAAGAGATCCGGCAGTATGAATACGGTTGAACGATTGGAAGAAGGATACTCAACTCAACGACCACCGTTGTTCAACGACAAATTTTACCAATTCTGGAAGAGTCGAATGGAGAACTTCATCAAGGCTGAGAACTACCAGGTATGGAACGTAATTGAGGTAGGCGATAACATTATCACTAAGGAGGATGCCGAAGGTAAGGTTATCCCTAAACCCAAATCTGAATATACTTGTGATGATTATCGTAAACTCGAGCATAATGCCCAAGCATTGAAATATTTGATTTGTGGACTTGGTCCGGCTGAGCACAACGGGGTTCTTGGATGCAAATCCGCAAAACAAATGTGGGATTTACTGGAGGTTACGCATGAGGGTACCTCGCGTGTAAAAAGATCCAAAATTGACATATTTATGCGTAATTACGAATTGTTCGTGATGAAACCTAAAGAGTCAATTAGGGATATGATTACACGCTTTACTAATATTATAAATGAGATTTCAGCACTTGGAAAAGATATTACTGTGGAAGATCAAGTGAGAAAAGTTATGAGAAGCTTGCCCTCCGCATGGAAGCCTAAAACTACGGCTATAGAAGAAGCTAAAGATCTCTCTACAATGACGCTAGAAGACTTGACCGGTTCACTCATGACATATGAGCTAGGCCTACAAGAAGAACAAGATGCCGAAAATGTGAGAAAGGAGCGAGGAATAGCTCTCAAGGCTCGAGAAGAAGAAGAAGAAGAATCCGAAAGTGAATCGGAAGACGAAATGAGCATGTTCGGCAAGTAATTCGGGAAGATGTACCGGAAATTCAAAGGCAACCGAAACAAGCAAGGTAAAAAGGGTTTTCAATCTTTTAATAACCAAAGTTGTTTTGTTTGTGGTTCCTTTGAGCACAGGGCAAAAGATTGTCCCCAAAAGAAAAATGACAGAACCTACGACAAGAACAAGACTAGTTCCCATCGGAGGTCCAGTGAAGATAAAGGGTTCAACAGAGACCTCAAGAAGACAATGATGGCCACTTGGGGAGACTCATCCGATGATGATGAGGAAGAAGTTGAAAAGAGTTCCAATCATGCAGGGTTGTGTCTTATGGCTAATTCCGACGAGAAATCCGACCAAGAGAGTTTCGAGGTAAATTTGGAAAACTTTCTATCTAAGTTTGATTCTTTGCCTAAAACCAAAGTTCGGAAATTTTTTAAAAGGCTAACTATCGAGCTTAACCAAAACCTTTCTGAAAATGAAAATCTAAAATCACAAATCACTGAGCTAGAATCTAAACTCGAGGAAACCACACGAGCAAAGCTAAGGCTTGAAACTAAAGTGGGAGAGTTAATAGATGAGAAGCTAAAATACAGTGAAGTGGTTTTAGAACAAGACAATATTATCTGTTCTTTAAAGCTCGATAGCATGAACCAACAAGTTGATCAAAGTGAGAAACTTCTTTCGAAAATTCCGAACATTGGTGTGCTGATTGAACACCTTAATCGCCTTGAGGCTGAGAGACAAGATTTCAAAAATAAGCCGGAATACCAGCCGTATAGTACTAAAGAAAGAACCAGGTCTAGACCCTATTCTAGAACTGAACCTTCTCGGTACAAAAGAAAGGAAAACGAGACTGCGGGTCTCAGATATGTTCCAAGGAAAACTCAAATAAATCAAAAATATGGTTTTCAGAACCAATCCTTTAACGGTAACAGAACTAGAGGACAAACCAATTCTAGGCCATACCAGAGGCAATCTAGAACTGGACCAACCTGGTTCGATAAATTGGTTCAAAGGCACAAAACTGGTTATGGAAAAACACCTAACCGAGAGTTTTATAAAAGGGACAAAGATTTTTATGGAAATTGGAAAACCAAATACGTTGATACATATGATAGCCGAATTTGCGGGCATTGTGGCAAAGTCGGTCATCTTAGGTATCAATGTCACTCTCGGCAACATGCCTTAGAAAGGAGCTTTAATTATAGTAATTATTCCTCAAACAATTACAAAATGGAACCCAAGCAGGTCTGGGTTCCACGCACTAACCCTTAATCCTGGAACATCGCCGAGTGAGGGGGAACAACCACTGGTTCCTTGACAGTGGGTGTTCTAAGCACATGACGGGAGTTAAATCATTATTCCTCTCACTGCGGCCATTTAGCGGTGGAAGGGTGACATTTGGAGACAACGGTAAAGGAGAAATAATTGCCGTGGGAAAAGTTGGAAAGTCACCTAACCATGCAATTGACAATGTCTTTCTAGTCAAGGGTTTAAAGTTTAATTTGCTAAGTATTTCTCAATTTTGTGACCGAGGTAACAATGTAGTTTTTGATCATAATGTATGTCGCATTGTTAATAACGAAACACAACAAGTTATACTAGAGGGCAAGAGACTAGAAAATACTTATAACGTTGATCTTGATTTATTGCCAAATATAAGTCTAACTTGCCTGAGCGTTATTGACAATGATCCCCTGCTATGGCATAAAAGGCTTGGACACGCTAGTTTTCATTAATAAATAAACTCAAAAATAATGATTTGGTAATTGGGCTACCTAATATAAAATATTCACTTGATCATATTTGCTCTGCTTGTGCCACCGGAAAACAATCGCGATCATCTTTTAAAACAAAGAATTTGGTGAGCACAAGCAAGCCCATAGAACTAATTCACATGGATTTGTGTGGTCCAATGTCAGTCCGTAGCCGAAGAAATAAAGAATATGTTTTAGTTATTGTTGATGACTTTTCAAGATATACTTGGACTATCTTTCTTGCAAGCAAGAAAGATACTTTTAATGAGTTTGTTGTTTTTGTAAGGAAAGTTGAACATCAAACAGGGTTACAATTAATCAAGATCAGATCGGATCATGGAATTGAGTTTGACAACTCACTATTTGATGCATTCTGCAAGGAACGAGGCATAGACCACAACTTTGCTGCCCCTAGAACTCCTCAACAAAATGGGGTAGTAGAACGGAAGAATAGAACTCTTGAGGACATGACTAGAACAATGCTGATTTCCAGTGGTCTAGCCAGAAACTTTTGGGCAGAAGAACTAAACATGGCATGTTATATAATTAACCGTGCTATGATTCGTCCACTCCTAGGGAAGACACCCTACGAACTACTCAAAGGGAGAAAGCCCAACATTAGTCATCTAAGAACTTTTGGATGCAAATGTTTTGTTCATAACAATGGGAAAGACAACATTGGCAAGTTCGATGCAAGAAGTGATGAAGCAGTCTTCCTCGGATACTCAACTCATAGCAAAGCTTACAAAGTTCTAAACAAACGCACACAATGTGTGGAAGAAAGTATCCATGTAATCTTTGATGAAGCAGTTGCCTTAAGACCAAGCCAAATCGATGATGAAGAAATAGGAATGACACGCAAGGAGATACAACCTCAAAGGGAAAGTGGAACTGACCATGACACCAACCAATCTGGAGAACCATCACTGACCAATGAAGACAAAGAGTCTGGAACTGAAGAAGAAACTGGACAGACTTCAGCCAGTCAGCCTGTAGAACCAGTTTCAGATACTCTACACGAATTGGTGGATCAACCAAATGCTCCAAGAGGGTGGAAGCATCATCGATCACATCCCCTGGATAACCTCTTAACAGATCTAAATCAGGGAGTAACAACTAGATCTAAAATTAGAAATTTTTGTGCTTGCTTTGCTTATTTATCTCTAATAGAACCGGAGAACCATGAAGTGGCTCTCTCCGATGCTGACTGGGTTCTAGCTATGCAGGAAGAACTAAATCAGTTCGAAAGGAACAAGGTGTGGCATCTAGAACCAAGACCTAAGAACAAAATTGTGATAGGTCTCAAATGGGTATTTAAGAACAAGCTTGATGAATATGGACAAATCACAAGGAACAAGGCGAGACTTATTGTAAAAGGCTATAACCAACAAGAAGAGATAGATTTCAACGAATCATTTGCACCAGTGGCAAGATTAGAGGCAATACGAATGCTCATAGCATTTGCGGCTCACATGGGATTCACACTCCATCAAATGGATGTGAAAACGGCCTTCTTGAATGGTTATCTTAAGGAAGAGGTGTACGTAGAACAACCACCGGGTTTTGAAATTCCAGATTTTCCTAATCATGTTTTCAAATTAGATAAAGCACTTTATGGTCTCAAACAAGCACCTCGTGCTTGGTATGAGTGATTATCTAAAGTTCTTTTGGAAAATGGTTTTGAAAGAGGAAAAATAGATAAAACTCTTTTTCTAAAAAAAGATCAAGCTCTGTTGGTTGTTCAAATTTATGTAGATGATATTATTTTTGGTGCTACTAATGATTCACTGTGTGATGAATTTTCTTCTCTTATGAGTTCCGAGTTCGAGATGAGTATGATGGGAGAACTAAACTTTTTCCTTGGCCTACAAATCAAACAAACAAGCAAAGGAACCCAAATATCTCAACAAAAGTACCTTAAAGAACTTCTCAAGAAGTATGGAGCAAGTGAAGGCAAAACAATGATGACACCTATGGGAACAAATGAACGCTTGGATGCAGACGAACAGGGAATAAGCGTGGACCAAAAGAAGTACAGAGGCATGATTGAGTCTCTACTACACCTAACTGCCAGTAGACCCGACATAGTTTTCAGTGTAGGTCTATGCGCTCGGTTCCAGGCAAATCCTAAGGAGTCACATCTCAAAGTGGTTAAAAGGATCTTCAAATATCTCAAAGGAACTACGAATCTATGCTTATGGTATCCACGTAATGAAGATTTTAACCTTATTGCATATTCAGACTCTGATTTTGCCGGTGATTTACTAAATAGGAAAAGCACGTCTGGAACGGCTCACTTCCTAGGTCCTTGCCTAGTTTCATGGAGTTCTAAGAAACAAAACTCAGTTGCTCTTTCAACAGCCGAAGCTGAGTACGTGGCAGCCGCATCTTGTTGCTCACAATCCCTGTGGATCATGCAACAAGTGAGTGACTACGGGATCAACCTAAATTACACGCCAATCTTATGCGACAACACCAGTGCGATCAGTATTTCAAAGGATTCGGTCATGCATTCTCGGACAAAACATATTCATATCCGTCATCACTTTTTGAGAGATTGCGTGGAAAAGGGGCTAATCAGGGTAGAGTATTGCAGCACCGAGAAACAAATTGCTGACATTTTTACAAAGGCTCTTGGGAGAGAAAGGTTTGAATTAATTAGACTTGAACTTGGTCTAATTAATGCTTAAATTATCTGTCTTATTTGTGTCTTTTCAAAAATATTTTTCAAAGCATGTCTTAAATTAGCACATAAATGAAGTACTCCTTAAACTTTAATGGCACACTTTCTGTATAATTCAGGGGGAACCAATGGTTGATTATATGTTTTTTTTCCCTTGAATCTTGTCTTAAAGAGGTAAGTTCTTTCATGTTTCCTTTTGGTTGATGCCGAAAGGGGGAAATATTCAGGTGCCTCTCATGTCCTTCTATATTAATGCAAAATCTGCAGGTCATGTGTCTCAAGGCACCTATGGTTTGTCAACAACAAAAAGGGGGAATTTGTTGAATATTTAGTTTTGTTGATGACTAACCATACAGGAACAAAAGAAGGAACTATCGTTGACTAACCCTGCAGGTAGACCAACGGATAGAACTTCTCTCCGTTTTATCAGGAACGAAAATTAGAACTATACTTAGTTCTGTTTTGTGTGAATAATTGACGTACATAACGAATAAATGAATTCATATGTTATTGCATGATAATGCCATATCTACGTACCTAGATATGTTATGCATGAAAGTGGCACAATTTAAATATCTTTTCATAAATGACTATGCCTTTATACTTTATAAAAGGTAATCATGAAAGGGGCACAATTGAAATATCTTTTTAGAAATGATTGGACACCACTTAAGTAAGTTAACCTTAATTGTGCTTCATATTTATTAGAAAGTAATAGTGGCTTGCTAAATTAAGGTCGTTGCATGATTTGAGTAATGTACTATGGAAAGCTTCCTTACATGATTCGAATAAATTCAAATAAGCTAAATAGTATTTGATGCCATGTTACGTTTCTCTTACTATGGAAAGTAATCTTCTTATCTTTATATTGATGGTCCTCTTTCGAAATACATCAAAAGAAATATTTTTGGTAGCATATGATTTGATTGCATCTCCTACTATACGAATTTATCTACATCCATGATTGAATATTTTAAATACTTTTGAATAGAATATTGCTTACCTATTGTGAACCGTTGCTTCTTGCTATAATAGTTAGATATATTCTTTGCTTGCTATATTACCTTGAGACCATTGCATGCATTAGATATTCTCTCAATTGACATATTCTCGAATATCTTGTGTCTATCAATATAATTGATATATGCCGTTAGCTCAAAGTATGAGACATATTATTCAAGGAAGGTAATTCAAAATATCAAGGAAAGTCCAAATATTCAATCAAGGAAAGGAGAGGCTACGGATGCTATATATATATTGGACTAAAGACCAGACGAAAGTGGTGTGCTTAATCGAGCTTCTATTGAGAAATATACACGAGAATATTTACCAAGTCCAAGGCACCTGAACCTGCTCACGGAGTTCCAGACAGAGTTTCTTTTTCCCTTCTTCATATTGTAATTTGGGTATTGAGGATTGGCTAAGTGTAGCATCCTCGGCTTGGTTAGTGTGTTGTGAGAAGCTTTGTTGTAAAGCTGAGAGGCTCTCTACCCGCAAGGTAGAGATGCATAACTCTTCCTAGAGAGGATAGAGTTGGGTTGGCTCAAGGGTAGACTAGATGAGTTTCCCTTGTAATCATTCAAAGGCTTTTTAGTGGAGTTGCTCAAATTCCTCCGAGGGAGGTCGAGGTTTTTTAATCCCTTTGAGCCAAGGGATTTTTCCTCGTTAAATCCTTGTGCACTTTACTATTTCGCATTTCCCTGAACCCCACACTAGAACTGTGCGAAAATCTGCCACGGTTCCACACACACACACAATTCACTCCCCCTCTTGTGTTGCTAACCGTTTCATCAATCAGTCAAAATGCAGCATACAAAAAGATGCTACATTTGATATATCGTGACATTTTTGGCACTACTTATTGCAACATTTTAGTTTACATATGTTACAAAAGCTATACTTTGTTGTATGCTTTCTAAAAAAATTTAGTAGATTTGGCCAATTCAGTAGTTTCAGTCATAATTTCATACATTTCAGCATATTCTGCCGGTTCATCAAACGAGCTCAAAATATGTGTGTTTATAAGTAATATGAAATTTTTGCCGGTGGTAATAAATATTTTGAAGAACTAATATAGACAATGAATTTTTTAGCTTCTTTTCCTTTTTAATACTAATTTGGATTAACATAATTTCACTTTGTTTGTTTTGTTTATTGACGAGCTCATTATATATTGAGAAAATGCTTTCGCTAGTTGAAAATATTTTCTTGAGAATATCGTTTACGTTTTTGCAGATTCATCTGGTAGGCCTGCTGTCTAGTAAGATCCCTACCTACGCACCTGCACTTACACTTTAAAGAGCCCGTTCAATAGCTCTAAATTTGTGGTTATTTGCTTTATCAATCAACTTTTATATCAAATACGTAATTTTTAATTCGCGCGTTGAAATAAGTAATAATCCAAATAAGTAAGGTCGAAATTACTTTGTGACTGATGTTATTGTAAAGGATCATTTTAGCTATTTTTTCACATAATTATTTCTTTATTCTTACTAATAAAATGTATTTTAAGTATAATTCCACTAGTACAAAAGGTGTCTATTGTAGCATCCATTTTGTATCACCCTATAGAAATTGTTACAATATAATATCTATTGTAACATTATTGAACAAAGACATACTACAATAAAATGATAAATTGCTACAATATATCTATTTTAACATCAGTCAAAATGCAGCATACAAAAAGATGCTACATTTGATATATCGTGACATTTTTGGCACTACTTATTGCAACATTTTAGTTTGCATATGTTACAAAAGCTATACTTTGTTGTATTCTTTCTTAAAAAAACTTAGTAGATTTGGCCAATTCAGTAGTTTCAGTCATAATTTCATACATTTCAGCATATTCAGCCGGTTCATCAAACGAGCTCAAAATATGTGTGTTTATAAGTAATATGAAATTTTTGCCGGTGGTAATAAATATTTTGAAGAACTAATATAGACAATGAATTTTTTAGCTTTTTTTCCTTTTTACCTTAAAATTTAAATTAGATTCCCGACATAGAGGTAAAAATATTTGTAAATTCCAAAATATGACTACTATGTTTTATTTCCCCAATAGAAGTAATTATTGTCATTTTTAGTATTATAAGACTTTAAACATGACAAATAATTACCTCTACTCAGGGAGTAAAAATTTAATACTCCTATTTTGAAATTTCATAACATTTTTACTCATATTTTAGAAACTTCCGCTTCACTTTATTAGCTTTATATATGAATTGTGTTGTTTTTGGATTACCGGCCACATCATCACGCCACACAGTGGCGGACCCAGAAATTTGTGAAAGCGGAGCCACACTCATGGGCGGAGACAGGGGGTGGCCAACCTAGGCCATGGCCCACCCCAAATTTAAAAAATGGCTTAATTTTTAGTGTAAAAAATTCTGTTTAAATTTTTTTCCAAAAATATTCTTTGTACCGGCCCAGTCCGACCCAGTGCCCTGGCTCCGCCCCTGGCCACACTAGACACTAAACTTAGCCTATAAAAAACTCTGGGCCCGAAACGGGACACATGCTTTTACCTTAAGTGCTACTGGTGAATTTACGAGCGCGAAGTGGGGGCACATGCCCCCTAGTCTCCCCTTAGGTCATCTCACGCCACATGCATGACTAGTGGCGTCTAGTGCCACCAAAGCTTTGAAATTGTTAGCTAGGCCATGTAGAATGTTTGGTCATTTTTCAACTAACTCAATATGCTTGCATGTAAGATTCTTCAAATGAATATATTTGATTCTTGAATAAATGAATCCCATTATTACTAATATTGGCGTGACACCAAAGCTATGAAATTGTTAGGCCATGTAGAATGTTTGGTGTTTTTACAACTAACTCAATATGCTTGTTACGTTCTTCGTCAAACGAAATTGTTTGATTCTTGGTTAAATGATCTCCCAGTGTTATTAATTAACTAGTTACTCCACCCGTGCGCTGCACGGGAGTGAGACACCCACATAATAATTTAGATATCATTATATATTTAAAACTATTTAAAAAATATGATTGTGTTAGAATTATTTGAAAACATTAAATAAATTCTGAATAAATGGTAAGAACTAAATTTAAAACATTACACGATGAAATGGATGTTCATTTAAGTCCATCACACTATAAAGAAAATTATAAATTACTCTATAGTACAAATTTCTTTGTAAACAACATTCAATGTTGATTTGGTTGGTTGTCCATCTTCGTCATTACAAACTCCAATCCCATTAACTTGTTACTCTCCACACCGTCACGTACAAATGTTTGCGAGTAATAATGGGGCATCAGAGTAAGATGACAACTTGTAGTGCTATTAGGTATAGGATAGGATAGGATAGGATAAGATGGTTTTTTTTGCAGAAAGTGAAATTACCTTTTAGGATTTTAGGCGGAGAATGTTTAGGCGGGAGAATTTTCTCTCTCCGTTGTAGTGATTTTAAGTATATGATGATGATGATGATGATTTTTTTTTCCGGAAAGTGAAATTACATTTTACGATTTTAGGCGGAGAATGCTTAGGCGGGTGAATTTTCTCTCTCCAGTGTAGTACTTTTAGGTGTAGGATGATGATTTTATTTTTTTGTGGAAAGTGTAATTAAATCTTAGGATTTTAGGCGGAGAACGCTTAGGCGGGTGAATTTTCTCTCTCCAGTGTAATGCTTTTAGGTGTAGGATGATGATTTTATTTTTTTGTGGAAAGTGTAATTACATTTTAGGATTTTAGGCGGAGAATGCTTAGGCGGGAGAGTTTTCTCTCTCCAATGTAGTGCTTTTAGGTATAATAAAGAAGATGATTTTTTCAGGAAAGTGAAATTACATTTTAGGATTTTAGACGGAGAATGCTTAGACGGGAGAATTTTCTCTCTCCAGTGCAGTGCTTTTAGGTATATGATGATGATGATTTTTTTGTGGAGAGTAAAATTACATATTAGGATTTTAGGCGGATAATTTTCTCTCTACAGTGTAGTGCTTTTAGGTATAGGATGATGATGATGATGATTTTTTTTGTGGAGAGTGAAATTACATATTAGGATTTTAGGCGGAGAATTTTATCTCTACAGTGTAGTGCTTTTAGGTATAGGATAGGATGAATTTACATTTTAGGATTTTAGGATTATAGGATGATGATTTTTTTTGTGGAAAGTGTAATTACATTTTAGGATTTTAAGGGGAGAATGCTTATGCGGGAGAATTTTCTCTCTCCAGCGTAGTGCTTTTAGGTATAGGATGATTTTTGTTGTGGAGAGTCAAATTACATTTTAGGATTTTAGGCGGAGAATGCTTAGGCGGGAAAATTTTCTCTCTTAAGTGTAGTGCTTTTAGGTATAGGATGATGATTTTTTTTGTGGAAAGAGAAATTACATTTCAGGATTTTAGGCACATAATGCATAGGCGAGAGAATTTTCTCGCTTCAGTGTAGTGCTTTTAGGTATAGGATG